TGCTGGTTGCCCCTGAGCATGCCGTTCCCTGCTGGCCCCTCCTGGATGTGTGCCAGAATAATTTTCTCGAACAGCTTGCCCAGGATCGAGGTAAGACTGACTGGCCTGTAGTTCCCCGGGTCCTCTTTCCTCCCCTTTTTGAAGATGGGAACCACGTTGGCCCTCTTCCAGTCCTCCGGCACCTCTCCAGAGCACCACGAGTGTTCATAAAGCCACGCCAGGGGACTTGCAATGACCCCAGCCAGTTCCTTTAGGACTGCAATGACCCCAGCCAGTTCCTTTAGGCACACTACATGGTGCCAAAATGGCATGGCTGGGCATAGGACCACATAAACCAGCGGATGCACTGTGTAAGTATCTCTCTCATCTCTGGCAGGTTTCTAGTTAAAGAGTCTCTAAAGGGAAGCCTGGCCTACACTTTTCTCCTAAGATAAACATTTCCTTTGATTCAGTTGCTCTTGCAAGTTCAGAGTGGTAGAAACTGAACTGTGCTTACCCCTACATGTTAGTTGTATTTAAAAACAAGTTGAGTACCCTCCTCAACTTAATTAACAAAAGCCATCAGAAGCAAGCTCACACAGCATTGCACAGAAGGTGGTATTTCTGCAAAATTATTTCTAGATCCACCAAAATGTAACAAACATAAGAAGTAAACGAGCTCAGTATGACCTCAGTTTGGAAAGTAAAGATGCAATATAGTGATATCATGTCAAAGGTAAAATAGCATGCCTATTTTTATTCAGACACCTAGGGAAAGGTAAGAAAATCCTTTTTCAAGCCCTAGAATGTCAGAAAACATTGGCTGTGCATGCAATAACCACACACATTTCCTTATGGTATCCTCTATTCCATACAATGCTAGATAAGATTTTACCTTTATGTGTGAAGCATTGATGTAACCTGTATTATTTTCTTTGGTTGGTACCAGTTCCACTCGGTTCTCCTCATAAGGAACAACCTCCCTGATTCGGTTTCGCTCAGCATTTTCAGGCAAGGCTGCGGTGGTGAAGATCCCATCTGCCTTTTTCTTTGGAATCTGTTCATATTCTGTGAAGACCATTCCTTCTTCCAACTTCCTTTTCAAGATTTTGCACTGTGATTTAACAGCACAAAAGGAAGCACATTCAACAAACTTTTTGACAGAAAATTTGTGAAAGCATTTGTACTGCTGATTCTCTACACGGTGGGTGCATCCACACGCCATTAATGTGCAGCAATAAACTCCAGAGCTTATTGTGCCAGAGTTTATTGCTCTTGGGAAGCTCCCAGGCATGCTGTTTACACATGGGACTGGACTGCAACACACTGAACCAGCTGGTGAGGGGCCCTGGAGGTCAGTCTGCCAGCCCTGGGTTGCTCTGACCGGGCCCAGTGTTCTGCAGAGGGGCTGGCTGGGACACAAGGATGCTTTAGCACAGGGCTAGCTGGCACGCAACTTCCGCACTGAAACACCTTTGTGCCCCAACCAGATGGTTCAGCATCTACACATGCACTGCTGCGCATGAAAAAACCCTGCAGCAGGAGTTTATCTAACTCTATCCCAGATATTTAGAAGTACTACCCTGCTGCAGAGTTGATTAGTTTCCTGCGCCCTAATAAGGGCACACACGTAGATTACTGTGGAGCTAGTCAGCTTTGCAGTAAACATCTTGTGTAGCCGCTGCTGAAATGTAAAGAATCTAAACTGCTCTATTGTGGCTCAAATCATACGGTTTACTATACAGTGTTATGCCGCTAGAGGATATACAACTTCACTTAATTCCATTGAGGTAACCAGCCAAGAATTTTGTTTCCAGCATGCTTTTTATTTATTTATTTATTTTTAACTTTTCTATTGATTTTGGTGCAAGATAAAGCTAGCTGGATCAAGCCCAGTGTACTGGCATCAGACCCTGGAGCCCAGCACTGCCCTTCCTGCTGCTATGCACAGAGATTGAGCCCTTGGGGGTCAGCATTGCCCTAACCTATCCCTGTGCACTGGGATTGGGCCCTGGGGCCTTGCACCAGCCTTTCCTGTCTCCATGTACCAGGATTGGGCCCTGGGGCCTCAGTGCCAAGCACTCCTAGCCCCCTGCACTGGAATTAAGCCTGGTGCCTGGCATTGTTCCTGTGTGGTGGAACTGGGCCCTGAGACCCAGTGCCACTTCTGCCTGGCTGTGAGTGGTGGGATCAGGTGATCTGTCTGGCATGCAAGGCAGGGCCCAGGGCTCTCTACAGGTCAGGAATTTTGGCAGCATGGGAGCGTTGCCATCACTCCCTTACTGCCAAATTTCTGGACCTGTGAGAGCTGCATGGATTGGATGACATGCCACTGTGGCCCAGATTTGGTCCACAGGCCAGATGTTGAGCACCCCTATCCTATTATAATACAGCTTGGGTTACATTTTCAAGATATGGCCTAAATTTGTACACATACAACTTCTGTCCATGTGCAAAGCTTCATATACGTACAAATAAGGTACAAGCTTTCTTATTTGCATACACACCTGACATTGGGTATAAAGTTAAATGTACAAAACAGGAATATATGTCAGTAGCAGCAGATCTTTTAAAAAAACTTGAGGTAACATACATATATGCACATGCACCTACACAGAGAACTAAGAGAAAGAGTTCTTTGACTCTTGAGCAGTGATTAAGGACCATCCAATTCATGCATCGATTCTGTACTTTTTCTTACAACTAACAGTGACTGATGTGGAAAGATACCTGGCGAAAAAGATGGGCAGAATACTAATTTTAAGTCTTGATTGTGTAAGGTGCTGAGTATTCCCAACTTCCAGTACCATGAATGTTTAGGTAGTGTAAGAGTGATGTTGTAGTTGTAAGGGTCCAAAACTTATGCAAGGCAAGGATTGTTTAGGGTGGTATCCTTTTTTGGACCAACTATGTAAGAACATCTTGCATTCGAAGCTTGTCTAACTCTATCTCAACTACATAGTTGGTCCAATAATAGATACCACCCTAAAAAATCCTTGCCTCTCGTATGGCTGTTCAGGGCATTCAGAGCTTTTTGATCCAGCAGTGATCAAACACCCTAGTGTTTGTCCTGTCCACTCAAAGACAATTAATGGCTCCTCCACAAAATGTTTTAACATGTGTCGATCTATGAGTAATAGATTCGATTTTTAAATCCAGATTCAGAAATGTGTACCACTGCAAACAAAAGGAACAAACAATATTTCACAAAACTCAATCTTACCCTCTCATCCATTGGCACCTTGGCTACTTCATCCTGGCTATCCTCAGGCACTGGAACTCTAGCAACTGAGAGTCCATTCAGCGCTGCCAACAACAGGGGCCTCTTCTGGGCCTCCAGGCCTGCCATCTTCTGCTTCTCTAGATTCTTTTGGCAAGAAAAGACATGTTTTCATCTCTCTGTGATTATTTATAATGCCAGTAAAATGCTGGAATGTTTTTGGTTTTTTTTAATCTTCAAAATCTGCAACTTTCTGGCCAAGGAATGCAGATGATCACCATTAGCATAGTCAATTTAAATACAACTTCTATTCTTCCTATTATTCCTCAAGGGCCTGCTCCTACATGAGTGTAGAATTTTAATTCATGTTAAAGAAAATCTAAAAGTATAATATAGTTTTACTTGCCATCAAAGGACTTGCAAAAAGAAATCTCATGCATCTCTCTGTTAATGTGAAGCTCATGGCAGGCCACCACACATTGTGATGCCAAAATTTAGCCAACATACCTGGACCATGCTGGAGCTGGTTTTAAAAGAAAGGATATTAACTTCAAACTCCTGCAGTGGACATCTTGAAAAATACTGGCTGCTTGCTTCTCTGCAGTATCAGTCTTTGCTATGGTGTTTGCTGAATACTTTGAATGGGATACACTGAGAGTTTAACTACTGTGGGTGATGACTGTCCAGTGTTTAATGTCTACACTTGATGCTACCATGTAAGGCTTCCAAAAAGAAAAGTAATGTCATACAGATACAGATTTTGCTTTATTTCATTTTCATGTTGAACGTTAAAATTAAGCTTGGCAAACGAGGTAAACCTCTAATTTCATTCAGCAGCATCCTCATGTTAGTGGGAGTGGAGACATCAAGGAGACTGTACTACTTCAGAAGGGTGAAGAGGGGGGAAATATTTTGCTCCATTCCCTCTATTCAATCTTTCTACCTTATTTCAGGGTAAAACCATGCACAAATCAAGTCCAGTTAACAGCTGCATTTGGTTTAGGCTCTCCTACTGGGAAAGCATTACTTAACCCCACTCCCTTCAGAGATACAGTGAATGGCTTGTTTCTGGCAAGCATCAGTTTGTAAACTTTTCCATTGCCATCGGGTTCTACAATAGGACTGTGTTACAAGAAAATCATGTTGCTGGTGAAATTGGAAAAGCAGCAAACCAGGATTTTACTAGATTTATAGAAAGCTAAAGATCTGGTATTTTTGCCCTGTTTGTTTTTTTTGCTATTATGGCAAATGCTTCATAGAAATTTGATATCTGAAACAAAATGCAATATCACAAAATTAAAATAGTCCACCTTGCAGTTATGGCCTCAGGCATGGAAAACGCACTCATTTTTAGCTAGCACAATTTTGAGATCTGTAGTGAAAGAGGTTAAAATGTTATGCAACTCCTGATTTAAGCTAAAAACCATTCTGAACATAATTTTAGGTTAGGTAAAGAATATCCCCCTCCTTTCTTCTCTCCACCCCAAAATGTATCAGGAAATAATACATTTAGAGGGTGAACAAAGTTTATTTAATGCTGAACAATTATTCAGAACTGAGGTTTTCAAACTACATTTCTACTTACCAACCTAGTAGGCCCAACACTTCTCTGCCTTGACAAACACTTCTGAACCATTTAAGCTCCCGTCCTACAACGTATTCTGGGACACTCTACACTGAACAGGCCTTATCACTACAGTGTGTGTGTGTGTGAGACATTATATTTTGCAACCAGGAGCATCTTTCTTATCACAAAGGCTTAGATCAGGGTTATTGCAACCTCCAAGATACAGTTTTGGGGCAATCACAAGATTATAATAGAAAATAAGAACAACATGATTCAGAGTGAGGCGGTTTTCAATACACACAAGAGAGTTTCCTTTGAGTTCTGCTAATACAAATGCAGAAATTAGAGAGGGCCAATACCTGTTGAATAACAGATGAACAGGTACTTTTGTTTTTGCTACCAAAACTTCAAATGCAAAAATCATCAGCAACAAAATAGCAACTTTCCAAACAAGTTTGAAAATACCCTTGAAGACAGAGCAGCATTTTATTCTAAACATAGATCTTCAGTAATTTCTCATTTGTTTTGCTGATATTAGGCTTAGTGAGAAATTAGTTAGTCAAAATTGTTTATACATCCCTCTGGACCACTTGCTCATTTCATTAATAGAACGAGATTCAGTGTGTCATCTGTTCTAAGGCTCTGATTCTGAAAAAAGAATTACATACACAAATAACTGTCCTTGACTTGAGCAGGACTACTCACAATTTCTAAAGTTAAACACATATGTAAGCCACTGCAGTATTGGAACCTAAATCTCTTTATATTTTCAAACCTTCCCTGCTAATTATTTAGGTTCAGAGAACAGACATTTTATTTGTCTGCTTAGTAAATTAAAGATTAGTAGACATGTATTTCTAACACGAGCAGAAGAAATACCCTCAATATATAATCTCTGCAAAAAGGCATCTCTGTAATGCAGGGTGCCTAAATTAAGCTGTTGAAAGAAAATAATGCGTCAGAGCCAGTCAAGGTGTAGCACTGCACTGATATCAGCTTAATCTCTTTAAACACTAGGCGTGCCAGGTATGTGCCATAATTCATTCGCTGACTTGTTTGAAGTTACATTTATCTGAAAACTTCTGTGGTGTGTGGCAGAAGGCAGGCACGTACCCTCTGTTGTTCTAGAAAAATGTGTTTAAGAATTCCAAGACCTACATTGTACATGTTAAAAAAACAGCATTTCTACCCCTTCAACTTAGTAGAGCTGCTCCTTTAGTGCCAAGTTCCTAATTTAGAAAATCAGCTATTCAAGTTTTACTACAACCCACATTTAGTTGCCATAAATTTACACAGCCATATTAAGTACAGTTGTAGACTAGGTTCATGCCACAGTTCTGTAGAAAAAAGTAACATTAAGACATTAACTGTTTAACCATTGTTAGACTCTCCATTATACTACATATCACATATACTTGACTTTATATCCCTTCAAAGTTGGTGTGAAAAGGCTACCAAATCAGAATTCCCCACCTGTATCATTTAAATAAGTTCATGTTCACTATTCTCCAAAATGGCAAACACTGCTGAATGACTGCACAAACAAGGCTTCATTTTAAGTTATTCTTAATTTTAAGTACATCCAATTACCATCAACTTTTTTGTCTGCATGAATCTGCTTTACATTCCTTGTTGTTTGTAGGTCTGACAGTCTTCTGTTATCTAATTTGGTACGGAAAATAATCCATTATTTGGTTCAAAGCCTCTGCATCAGAGGAAGGTACTTACCCTCATCATCATCTCTCTTTCTATAATGCTGTCCTCAATAGAAAACATTTCAGACACAGGTCTTTCCTTCACTGGTTCTTTCTTGACCCTTTCCTTTACACTTGTGAGGTCGGGTTCTGAGATAGAGGGTCCCAGGGGAGACCCGTTTATTGTCATTTGATCAGTCCGAGATACACTAATGGCTTTAGAAGGTCCTGGTCTCATAGCCCTTGCTCTGGCTACCGCTGCAGAAATATTTACTTGGTCTGGTCTAAGGGCTCCATTGCTAACACTTTTCCTTGGCCCAGGATACTCTGGAGGAGGTTTATTTGGTATTCTAGCCAAGGCAGCTTGCAGCTGTTCATGGAGGGCTGCTATCTGAGAGACAGATTCTGTTGCTTCTTCTTCCTCTTCACTTTCACTACTGTGTATCAACATTGTGGCATCTGAGAAGGTTTTCTTATGATGGTAGTGAGGGAGCTGCTGAACCTCGTGTCCCATCTGCACTGACTCTTCTGGCTGCACCTGCTCTCGCAAGGTGTTTCTACGTGGCAGAGGGGCATTCAAAGTCTTTAATGCCATGGCTTCTATTCCACGCACCATATTGCTGATGACCTCCAAACTATGGCGCTTGTTGACAGCTGCAGGATGTTTGACTGCCATGAGGGGCTCACTGACCTCCTGAAGAGACTGATGAACAACTGGCAAACTATCCTCTTGGAATGTCTTCACGGAAAGCTGGACCTTCCGAGTAACCAAATCAGGGCTACTGCCACTGACATACTTGTGGCGGTGGCTTGCTAGGTCAGGTGTGCTAGTAGCAGGACGTGGACGTGGATATGGAGGTGGAGGCCTGTACAGATGGTTTTTTAACATGTGAGCAGTGCTATAACTCTGATTGCTCTGCAGCTGCATGTTTGCCAACTCTGGTGTGCTAACTGTATGGGATATGGCACTGGCTGCTGTCTTATTCTGCACAGTGTTAGGGTTCATTTGGTCAGAGGGGGCAACAGGTTTGTTATAACCAGCCTGGGGTCCATAAGTAACTGTATAGGGATGTCTTTCCCGAATCTCAGGTTGGCTGTACACCAGGTCTTCTGATTGGTTGTAAGCATGAGTGTTTCCAATATTGAGGTTCCGCAAAGATTGACTTTGGCTGTCCATGTGAATAACCCCTCTCTTCATCTGCCTCATGACCGTTTCATAGTCTGGAGTTGGCCTGTAGGAAGGCACTATGATTGCACTATGTCTGTGACTGGGAATATAGTCTGGTCTCATGATGTCACTTCCTGGGATGCTGAGATTGGAGGACATTGGAGAAGCCTGAACAAAGTTCTGTGAATGGTTGAGGGAGTTCATGCTGTGGGCACTGCATACGCTGCCATTGGGCCCATTACCATTTAAGTAGCTGAAGTCCATTGGACACCTATCCAAGCTGGTTTGAGATCTACAGTAGAATGCTTCTTCATTCCCATGGAAAATGCTGTCTGTGTGCAGAGGAGAAAGAGGCAAGGACAATTTAATAAACAAGGACACAGTCAATGCCACAATCCTCTAAATCCTTCCAATATCAAACTGCCAGAACTGGTATAATCTGACCCAAAGATTAAGAGGAGGTTTTGTTTACAGCTGCAAAGAACATTTGGTCTTAGTCCCCAAGTCACAAAAATAGGACCAAAAAAATCCTACAGATCCAAGTTCTCCCAGAATTTGGGGAATTATGGTACTGAGCCCTATTTGTATAAACTGCTGAACCTACTCCTGGATCCAAATTACACCTAAGTTTTGAGTGGAGTTCTAGAAGTAGAGGACAAGGTTGTAGGACACTTCCTATACCATCCACTCATGCTGCAGTTCAGCAGAATTTACATTTGCTCTCTAGAGATACAGCAGTAATCCTCAGGCCAACACACTTTCTAACTCAGTGGGGGCCAACCTTTTTGGCAGGTGTGCCACAAATTAGTCCCTCATTTGCCACATTTGGGGTGTATATGCCTCAAGTTCGCCACCCATGTTCCATATATTCTCTTTTGTTGCGTGGCAAGTCACTGTCCTTTTCTACTCATGCAGGTGGTGATGGTGAGGTTCCTGTGGGGTGACAGCATGTTACTCAATGTCAAAAGTAGTCACATTGCCTCTGGGATTTTAAGCAAGTCATTTTAAGCAGTGATGCCCCTGAGAAATCAAAATAGCCTAGAAACTGGAACTCTGAGCTGGAGAAATGGAAAGATTAAGCCTAGGTCTGACAGAGTTTATAGCACAGGGTGGAATAAGAGTCAGGCTTCGAGTTGCAGTTGAGACCACAAGCCAATCCTCCTTCCGAAATTTCCACAGAACTCAGAAAAATGGTCTTTTCTAAAAATCTGTTTTAAGATGACTTATTCAACATCACATAAGTAGTCTGCAATTAAATCAGGACAGGACCCCATTCTTCAAAATCTCAGTTCATTTTTTTCTACAGCCTCTGCCTCATAGGACACTGGGATGGAAATAACTTCTTGAGGCACTAACTCCAGCCCTTTGCTATCGTTGTAAAGTGAGTAATATAATTTCTTTCCTAAACTTAGCCAGCTCCATCTTTAAAAGTAGTTCTTGACAGTCAGAACATTGAAATTCCATCATGTATTTACTACTGATGATTCAGGCAGACTAGAGCACTTCTATTGTGTCTTTCATGGTATGCAGATAAACAGTTTGGCAAATTCATTTTAAAGTTCATGTGGTTAAAAAGTGAGTTCTGAGTCAATCTCAATACAGATCTGGGCTCTATCCCCAGCTCTAGTCAAAGTGATCTGATAAAACCTTTCAGTCAACTTTTCTGGCAGAGTGGGAGTGTGGAAGGGAGAGTGTGGAAATAACATTTGCCTCTTCTAAAGCTACAGCTCGAGGCACTAGTCAATAACAACAATGGAGGCATATGTTAGCAGAAGCATGTTAGCGGAAGATGCGACTTGAACATGATGTTCAATCATAATGACCCAACCAGTGCATTTTCTTCAAGGGCATATAATATTTTCTGCAAAGTTTCCTCTGTCTCTTGCCCTTCTCTAATTTCCTAAGTCTTAGGCTTCAACTGTAGAATTTCCTTGGATAACATTTCTTAGGTGCCGTGCACAGACACAAACATCTCCAACCCTTTTGGACCTTGACTGTGGTACCATATTCTATGTCATAGCTCAGGGAATCAAAGCATACATGTGCTACATTCCTCATAGCTCACTTCCTTCTTGTTTATTTTGTACCTGCACATAAAAGTATTAACAAGACTGAAATGTTAAATTCAGGTGCCAATGGCTGAGGCATGAGTCATGCAGTAACATCTCCTGCTAACATATGAATTATGAATTGCTGTTGACTAATGACTCTAGCAATTCCTTGGCAAACTTGACAACATTCACCTTATCTCAAAAACCCATCCAAGAATTTGGAGACATTTGAAAGTTTCTCTTTTAAACCTAACCCTTCTGCAATCTTAACTATGAAGCTGCATTTTTTTTTCTCAAGACTAACTATCATTTGATAGGGATGACATTAGAAATCAAGATCTAATGAGCTTGCACACTGAGCTATAGATTCTTAGAAGGAAACACATAAGCTCTAGATACCTTGTGAATTGTGTGTTTCAGTGTAATGTTCTCCACATTGGACATGCATAGGAGGCAGTATAAAAGGGTGCTGTCTTGGCTGGAATAAAAAGATTTTAAAAAAAGAAAGAGAAGCATGAATAACCTCAGCAAAATGGAGCTTTGCCACAGTCTTTGCAGGTGAAATGCAAAAAGAATTTTTCTACATCCTTCCACAAAATGGTGCTTTGAGCTATGTTAGATAGAGAAAAAATGACATTTTCAAAAGTACCTAAGTGATTCTGGAGCCCAAAGGTGATGTAGCCACCAAGGAACCTTGCTCTTATTTAAAGTCAGTGGAACACAGGTTCAATAATGCTCAAGCCTCTTTTGAAAATGGTATGTTGCAAACCTTCTTTTGCAATATTTTATTCAGACTCTTCACCTTTAAAGAGTTTAGTTTAGAACCTAAACTGTGACAAAAGCAGGTAAGGGCACAAAACTACAAAAAGTAGGCAAAGAATGAAGGTAAAGGTAAGAAGACCACGCCATGGTTTAGGAGACAAGTGAACATGTCTGGAATGAAGAATTTCTGCAGTCAACCCATCAATGATACTTCCTTGAATGCAGAAAGGAAGGGAAAAGGTAAAGCAAGAACCAAGGAAAAGAGGCCGGACCCAATTACAGTTGAGGATATTAAAAAAGAAGAGCGCTCTCTCAGAATAGCATCGCTCTTCTCTGGCTGCTTCTACTAGCAGCCTGAATATCAGGGCTTAGACTGACAAAAATTGAAGGAACCTAAGCAATTGGAAATAGCTAAATTTAAAATTTCTACCAAAAAGGAGGCACCTTCTGCAAGGAATGTATCGTATTATCAGGCGATACCAGGAATAAACTGTAATGCACACGTTATTATGGAATTCTGTTGCAAGCAGGCAAAGACTTCTGTTATTTGAAAATCGTGCTCTTTTGAGATGTCAGGCAGAACGATGAACTCCTCGGTAGGAATGAGGCAACTCCTGGCCTCTTGGATGTTTCTCTCTCTCAAAGATCTGGTGCCATCTAAGTCAGTGTCACTGGCGATTCTGCTGGAACACAATGGAAATACACTACAGCCACCCGCACACCAGGTGCTGCTTCATTTCCAGTGGACATCTATTGATTTATTACCATGCTACCGTATGAGACAAAATAGTCATTTGGTGTGACACAGAACTGTTGTAAAAGGCACGCAGAAATATTCTGGAGGGCAAGTTACTTCAGAGAGAAAAACTGCTGACAAGAATATTCAACCCCTCTGGAGGGGTAACAGGGCTGGTCTATAGCTTGTAACAGTTACTTGTCAGAACATAGTAGCTATAGGAAGAATTTGGAAAGAATAATAGAGGATACAACTTTTGCTATCATCGAAATACAAAGATCTAGAAATGCCTTTTTGAAGGAACAGAATAAGTAGCACAGATTCTGCTGAAACACAGAGACAGATATGGTAGGAACAAATTGCAAGTATGCAGTTGCTTAGTCAGCTGATGTTTTTACTAGATGTTTAGAAAACGCCCCATCCCGGTAGCAGTGATATCAGCACATTTATTTAATATCTCACCACAGTACATACCAAGGATGACCTACTCCAGGTGGGCCGCCGTCTGATGGGAGGAGGAGAACTTGATTGTCTGTGGGGAGAAGTGGAGAGAGACGTTCCAGGAACTGAGCTTAGCACAAAGTTTACATTCTGATTCAAGACTGGGTAGGGAAAACAAGAGACTAAGATGTGGTAAAATATCATTCATTACGGATGTAAAAAACAAAACAAAACAAAACTGAAATAGACTGAGATCATTCAGCTCCTTCTAGAAGTACAAAAATACACATGCTGTCTATTATCCTATTTGGCCAACTTGGAAACAACGGAACGAAAATCAACTCTGGCTTACGAATAAAAATCAAATGTGAAAAAACGTCAAGTTTCTTGAGGGATAAAAAGGGAACATATCACACAGGCACAATCTCAAGATGACTGGTGAACAGAAAAGCAATCACTAAAAGGCAATGCACACAGATCAGGAAGAAAAAGAGCGGCTAACTGGTTACTGCTAGCAGAGCCAGATACAATGTCAGGAATAGGCAGATGCAGTGGGAATAAAGAAAGGAGAGGGAAAAAGAAAACACAGAAGAAGCAGAAATAGTCGTGCTTATGTGTAGAGAGGAAAGGTGGAATTGCTCCTCTTACAGTTTCTGATCTGGCGAATGATGTTATGTGCAATTAGAGGAAATGCACACAGAGGAGATACAAACAACAACAGAGTCCTTTTCACACAAAGGTTGGGAAAATTATTCAGTCAGAAAACACATGCAGGAATAGGCTGCTAACCCCAGTGCAGATGCTGGCAACAGAGGAGACTCCTACATGGACAAGACTCATTTACTTGGTAAATAGATTTTGACTCTGTTTATTTCCCTCAGAGGCTCCATTTCCCCTGAGGGCAGAACAATACAAATATTTTTAGAGCGTTGCATGCAATGTCTCTGTCAATACCAGACTCACGGCATTTAAGTACCTAAGGCTCAACACTGAGAGATCAAGAAATAAAAATACAAACAAAAAACCCCTATGATCAAAAGACATTGCTTATGTGGTCTGAAATTAAACAGCCTTTACTGTAACAGGAGCATCTCTTTTGGTGACCCTGGTATACAGTTTCAAAGCAGAAATGTTCTCCTTCTCAGGGTCTGCTTTAGGCCAGTAGTTTTCTGACCTTTTAGCCATCACAGCATGTTTTTCCAGGGGAGAGAACCAGAAGATTCCCTTTGAACTTGCTCTTGCTCTTCGTGACAAAAATAAATCCACAGTACTAGGCTGTGATAGGGCAACATGCATCCTGCTGAGAAACGTATCTGTTGGACATTCATCTCTCCCCCAGATTCAATAGTGCAATCTGATCAGCTGCATGATTTTCTTTGGGGGGGGGGGGGGGGGGGGGGA